CCTTCTACTTGACCTTTCAATAGCACTGGATTCAGCTAATCCTTTCCTTTGGAAACTCTTTCTTCTCTACATTCCAGAGTACCACATGCTCTTGGTTTTTGTCCTGTACCTCTCCAGGAGGTCCTCCTTCGTCTCTTAATGATCACTGCTCTTCTTCCCAACCTCTTCATGTCAGAGTGTTCCAGGGTTCTGGTGGCAAATCCCTAGTGCACATCTCCAGTAAGACATCTTCAAACTCTAAGCTCGGTCTACATCTCCAATACATGTAACAGTCCAGAAGCATCACCCTGATCCCTTGAGCCCTACCACTCAGGCTTCTCTACTTATTTCTGATGCCACCTTAAACTCGGGCAAACCAGACCACATGGATCAACTTTTGCTCTCTTTCCTGGCAGCACCACACCAAGGACTCAGGAAACCTTCTGGCTCTAATTTCAAAACTTTTCAGAATCTGACCACCTGTCACCATCTCTACTGCTGTCTCTCTGGATCAGGCCACTGCCACCTCTCACCTCGATGACTGCAAGGCCAATGACTGGGCATCTCAACCACTGGCTCTGGAGTAGCCATCAGACTGATCCTTTGAAAGGTAAGTCAAGTCATATGACTGCTCTTCCAGATCCCCCATTCCATTGAGAGTCAAGCCGAGTGGCTTCTATCATCTGTGAAGTCCTGCTGCACCTGTGTCCCTGTGTCACAGGAACCTCGTCTCTAACCATTCTCCCAAGTGCCCATCCGCTTCAGCTGTGCAGCTCTCCTCAGGGTTTCTCTAGCATAGCAGGCACACTGCCTCTCAAAGGACAGCCCTGGCTGATCCCACTACCTGGCAAGGCCTCCTCCAAGTCCCTTACATTTGTCCAGCCTTTGCTCAGCTTTCCTCCGTGAGGTCCTACCTGTTTGAAGTTTCAGTAATCTCAACCCCTGGAACTGTACATTTTTTTATCCTGTTGCTATTTTCAAAAAAGCACTTGTGACTTCGAAATACCTGAAACAACTTATTTGTCCATTGTCTTGTTTCTTTCCACCAGAACTTAAACTCCAAAAAGGGAAATATTTTCCTCTGTTTGGTTCACTGATGTGTTCCTGGCACATAGGAGGTGCACAATTAACACTCACTGAGCAAATGAATCTACAGCCCTTATCAGACCATAAGCAACTCAAAGCTAGCCATGAAGGTTTGATTATCTTTGTATCCTGATTTCAAATACATAGGTACATATACTTGGTGCATATATTTGTGCTCAGTAACTTCTTATTAAATTGAACAGATATTTTTAAAGGTGGCCAAATGCCCTGTAAAAGTATCTTCATTTATCTACATCCTATTACATTTCTTTTTTTCTTCATCCTGACTACCAGAATTTGTTGTGGACAAGGTGCCAGCTGGTCCATGAAGCTCATGAGCCTGACCTTCAATGTGTTTTCTCAGAGCTAAGTCCCCAGCTACCTCCAAAGAGGTGAATGGTACATACACCAAGACATCATCCCCTCCTTACACCTCTTATGTGACCAATCAGGAAAGGAGAAAGCCACCTTGTCTTCACATAGCAAATATTCACCACAGTAGCTTTCATCTAAATATATTCCTCCAGACTTTTCCCAAGCTGTTGCTCATTCCTGGTAACAGCTAAATCAATTGGCCATATTGTACTGGTTTGTTTCAGTGTGTTTGTTTACTAGTCGGAGCCTGCATTAAGGGCAGGATTATTTCACGGTTCTAGCTTGCCTGGCTGTCTTCCAGCTCTCTCCCCTCCCAGTCTCCCTCTGCCTCTGACAGTGCAAACACCCTGAGAGTTGTTTGACTGTCCCTTAATTCTCTGCTCTTGCGAGTCTGTCTGCCTTCACTGAATCTGTGGCCCAAATTTAGGCAAATGTCTATCGCAAATGACCACACCAAATGCATCTTTCAGGCTTTCAGCTTCCAGCCACAGCCTTGGCCAGTGTGCTTTCCTCTCTTTGTCCTGTTATTGTATTGTAAATGAAACATGTGCAGCTATTTGAGCAATTGCAAAAATGTCATAAGAACATGCCCTTATCTAAAATGTCATTTTTCCAGTATTCTTTTTGGTTTGTTCTTCATTAACCACTGCTCTATTATTATAAAAAATAGAATAATAAACTACCTTGAATCTTGTAATTTTACACAGATTCTACATTGTCTTGGTGACCAAAAAACACCCACAATTCCTAATTAAAATATTCAAAGGTGAAATTCAAATAATTTCCACAAGATATATTACTGCTTTCATTTGTTTCTAGAGTTAGACAGACACCTTTTGCCAATGGGGGGGGGGGCGTTGAGGCGACAGCACAAAGGCTTCAAAGAACATTCCAAGTGTATTATTTTCTTTCGAGAAAATTCTAACACTATATAATCACTTTTATATAGAAAATGAATAATGTAAGCTGCTACTGCTAAAAGCAGCCAGACAAACTATCCAAACCAGATTGGCCTTTCCTAAAACCAAGTGAAATATCAAACTAGAAAATATCTGGATGAGAAAGGCCCACAAGCAAAGCCCATGAATTATTGTTTCACAGAGAGGGAGCGATTAGGGGACAAAGTCATATGGGGAAAAAAGTGATTTTCTCATCTATGTGTGAGGTTGTGTGTAGGTACGTGGTTTCTCAGAACCTGTAACGTTGATGGCAACCCCAAGTCACAGAAAAATACCAGCTAGAAATGCATCTAGGAGCTTCCAAGACTTCTGGTTAAAAATAACAGCAAAAACATCAATTAGGCTCCATCTATTGCTACAGCAATGCACTTGATAAAGAACAAGCTAAATTTCCACCTGCACAGAGATTGAACCGCAGCTAGTCCCCCAGTTCAAAGAAACCGAGCTTCGGTTCAGAGGGCACAACTACTGTCAGCAAGCCCAGCCAGCGGGCTGGGGCGCGGGGGAAGGAGGCCAGGCGCAGGGCTCCCCTCTTCGCCCTCCCCTCAAAACTGCTGCTGAGGCAGGAGAGCCTCGCGGCCAGCCTGGACCTAGCTGGATGGATTTCTCCTCCGCTCGGGGCGGCCGGTCGCGCCTCTCTCCCACAGCCCCCGCGGCTCGCACGGGTCTCTGGCTCCAGGCTCTGGGATCGCGACCTACGCAGGTCCCTTCCTCTGCCTCGGGTACACAGCCTTCCAGAGACGCTTCGCCAGGAGAGCTTCCCGCGCTGGCACCGCGTCAGCACCCCGGGGACAAGCCGACCCCGCCGGCTCCGGACCCCCGGGTCTGCACAGCCTGCGTCCCGGCGCCGTGCGCACCGCGGCACCCAGTAGGGCCTTTCGGGGCGCGGAGCCCGAAGAGGACGGCTACCGTCCGCAAACTCCCGCGCTGGCCCGGCGGGCCGGCGCCCTCCCGGGCTCAGCACCGCGTCCCCGAGGCAGCAGGCTGCGCGGCGGCCGGGCGGGGCTGCAGGTGTCCGCCGGCGCTCTCCGCCCCGCGCCCTCCTCGCCCGCCCGCGTCTTACTTTTCTGGCTGGAGTAGCCTGGGTAGTAGCCATAGTAGCCTGTGATCCGCAGGATCCGGTCCTCGATGGTGGCCACCCCGTTGGGGGCCGCCTTGACGTCCATAGAGAGCGCGGGCCGCGGCTCCAGCGGCTGCGGGGCGGCGAGCGCAGCGCGGGGCCCGGGGGCTGCGGCGGCGGCTCTG